CTCACTTCCACAAAACATTAAGAAGATAACAGCAAAATTGCGTCCCACAGCAAGGCAGTACTGAGTTTAGATTTCCCATAAATTAGTACAAATTTTGATTGCACTGCAGCTGCTAGGACAAGAGAGCAATTTATCAGTGATTATTCGCAGGATTTTAGGGCCCACTAACAACCTTAGGATATTAAAGAACACTGTAAATTTATAAATTTAGGGTAAGGTAATTGTTGTCACTAGAAAATGAATGGTAGTCAATCACATTTATCAAAATTTAAAATATCAACAGCAATACTATTAATTTTAAAACAATCTTACTTTGAAGTCTAGCGTAGTAGTGCTGTACAACACTTCTGTTGGGAAACAAAGTTTTAAAGGGGCAAAGGAGCATTCAAAACTTTGATCATCTCTTAAGAAAAGTAAGGTTGCTGCTAAAATTAATACTTAAGTAAGGTTGAAGCAATTTGATCTGCAAGTATATCCACATCAGAAGGACATTTGATTCATTCTTGTCAATTAATGATTATTAGAATTTGCTTAAGTATGATAATAATCAACTACAAGGAAATGTCACTGTTTGCATGGAACCTGTGTATAGTGGGGGAGGACTACAATAACACTAAAGTGAAAACATAGTGCAAAGTAAGAAGAAATATTCTGTCACTTTCCACTAGGTTCCAGTCACACACACAAGCACCAAACACATATTTATGACAAACAGTGACATTTGCATAAAAACAAAAAAAACAACATGAGAAAAAAAGAAACAATTTTCAAGTCAGATCCAGTAAAGAAAATCTGTACACGATCCGTTGCAACAATAGTTTTATAAAGACCACAAACACAAGGTAGACTTATAACACAGAAAATATATCAGGGATATTGTGAAATTTGAGTGTTCACATGTTATCGTCAAGTACTTAAGGTGCAAGGTTTGAGATACAACCAGAGTCCACAACAAAGGTGTGTCACACTAACCAGAAATTCAGTACGGAGATGTGTTAAACATTAACTAGAAACTCCCATTCATCACACAACTAAAATCAAAGTAAAACAAACAAACATGTAAAGCTAGTTTATCTACATATGCTTGTACTGTCTTCAACTTTCACCATCACCATGCCAGACACTGTAGAGAGAAATAGAGAGTGAGCTCACAAGCCTTTGAAACATCCAATCCCACACCTGGGTTTTAGGAGACACATTCATGAATTTCATTCAAAGGGAGGTGAGCCCATGAGATTTTAGCATGGATGACAGAAACTCATCTGAAGAAATCACATTCAACTGCACATTGTTATAACTAATTTCAATAAATGAGGTTAAAAGCTCAACCCCTTTAATTTTGCTAATAGCTACAGAAGCCAAAGGGTGATAATTCCTAATGCAAGAACAACCGCTACTATTACTTAACAACAGGCATTAAAAGTTACAACAATGTAAGTATAGCAATGGGGCTTCGGCTACAGCAATACTACAAGAGATATAAATCCTCAACAAACTTTTGTAACTAGGTTGGCATTCTCTGCAACCGCAGATGTCAACTAAATGCAAAGACTCAAAGTCAAACAGTGGATGCGAAGCCTTAAGCAGCAAATCTCAACTTCCAACACGAGATTCGGGGCCCACAAAACAAGGTTAAGAAAGATTACTGAAGTAAATTGACTAAACCCATATATTCATGCCACCTGGCCTCTAAAGAGCTGGCTATGGTAACGGCAATAG